TATTCTTGCTAAGAGTTAGATGCAGATCCATATAAATTATTTACCTTCCTGTTAAGTGCCTTCTGTCTGGGTACTTTCCCATACCTCAGGATATCGTTATTTTCAAAGGTAGACTGCTGATATATGTAAAAAAAAAAAAAAAACCTAAACGAGTTTATTACTATACCTGATTTTCTTGGAATGAGGTCTCATTCTAAGAGCTACGGCAGGTAACAGTCAATTAATTGAACTCTTGATTTATTGTGATGCGTCAACGTTCAAACACATAAGTAGATAAAGAAGTACTTGGACAGTGCTAATGCAAGTCTTCACATGTGCTCTCTGTGAATTCTCTGTTTATAGCTCTCTTAAGCCGTGTATTTTTAATCCCGCGCTAGACCTGCTATGAACTTGTACACATGCACCACCCAAGACACATAAGGTTCATGTGTGCAAGGAAGGTCTTCATCCCCTCTATAAGTTCTACTTCTACAAGCAACTACAAGTGCCTTCACCTGCTCACACTTTGCATCAACTATCTGCAACTGCCTTTCCTTTTCGAAAGTCAGTTTCCTTTGTTTGAGACGTGGAACCCTGGTGTCCAAAATTATAATGTAGACCATATGCATGTTTTTCAATTCAAGTTTTTCATTCGATTCATCTAAACAGAGCAATGGCATGTGTGTTCATTCTTGGCGACCCTGTAGCCAGATAGACGGGTTTCAAAGCCAGGATAATGTGTAAGGTGGTACTTTTTGTGCTTTCAATTGATTTGATCTTTTTTAGCTTGGCCTAAACACAGTACGGCGAAAGTGAAAATAATGTTTGAAAATTGTATGATTTCCCCTTTATTTTGTTGTGGCAAATAATAAAAAGCTAGGTTGAAATGTAGCTTCTGCATCGGGTTGAGTGCCGGGTCGTGCCAAATCAGCCAATGCTCCTTCCGCTGAAAGCCTCTCAGCCTTTTTTTTTTTAGTTCATCGTGTGTTCCCCTGGTATCATCACGGATCTTCTTTAGCTCTGCACGATTCTCATTTTCACCGAGCTCTTTCTAAAATGCATCTTCTTTTTTTTGGAGGTCTTTGTTTTTAATTAAGACTTCTTTTCTGTTGTCTTGGAAGGGAATTTTTCTTGCTTGCAAGAGGCATTTCTACCCGGGACTACTTACTTCTTAGATACCCTTAAATGTGCCGTGTCAGAATCTTACTAATGACTAATGATAGCAAAAAGTTCATGACGGTTTCGTGGCATGAACTCTCTTTAATTAGAAAGATAAAGGGCTGGGTGTTCTACTCAACAAGACCAGGTGAAGGCTTCTTTTGAAGACCGCTTTCGGGGAACATCTCTGGCTCATTTTTGAAAGTTTTCTTTGCATTTTACATGTTAAGGGGCATATCTTGCTTCTCCGATGCTTTATAATTTCCTTTTTGTAACCTTAGGTTCCTGATGAAAGTGCCTTTTGACATTTGCATTGAGTTCAGTCAGGGTTCTCTTCCTAGCTCTTCTGCAAAACTTACTTAAAGGGAAGGTACATTGTATTAGAGACTCGAATAAAAGACATGCATTGCAGCTTGTCAGCGAGTGATCTTTCTTCCCTTCTTTACTTGTTACTTTGTCCTCTTTCCAGTTCTTTGAAGGAAATGCTGTTAGGTATGCTTCTTTCTCTGCTTTGCTTCTCCAGGTCAAAAATTTTTAATCGATGGTGTTGTTTTGCCGGATAAAGTTCACTCGTTTCATGAGTAGCTCAGGGTATTCTTGAAAATGTTCATTGAAGTCATTAGTGGGAAGTCACGAATTTTAGGCTCCAGGGCCAGGCTGTTCAAAGCTGGGTTAAGATAACCCAGGAGTAGTATGAATTTTTATTTCAGATCTGAAAGCTTTAAATGTCTAAAAAGAATTAGGAAAATTATCCCAAAACGGCTTTTGAACAGAGAAATACAGAAAGCTGGATTAAAATTAAATCCTGGGTTAGTGCTAATCGCCCTTCGAACAACAGGGCCCTGCAGGAGAGAGAAGACTGTAGTCTCCCTATTAAATTTTGAACAGTTCCTAGTACTATTTTTTAATGATGCAGACTTTTAGTTATTTTATATAAAGAGCACATAGTAGTTCACTGGTGTTCACAAGGAACCCTTTTGTTGAGAAAAAAGCCTATACACTAAAAGCTATTGTTAGTTTTATTGCCATTTTCTTGTTAAATATTAAAATTGAAATAAGCTGCAGATTGGGAGGTTTGCTGCTGCACTGCCTAATCTGTTGTTTAAACTACAGCTACTTGGACAGCTAATTTCACACGACGTTGTACATCCACGTTTCTTTTACTGCTCATCTATAATTGGCAACATCTCTTACGGAGATCTCCTATTTGTCATCTTACTTGTATGAGTTAGCTGCTCCCTTGACAATCTCGCTCAAAGCTGATCCTACGGTTTTCATCGAATGAACTTTTTTTTTGGTTTTCTTTTTTTTTGTTCTCCTTTTTTTTCGGTCGCTGACTGATTGATTGTTGTGTGCGCACTTGTTTCACTTTCAGTATCGTCAAATTCGCCAACAGGAATTTCGCTTGGTGTCCAAGGACCTCCATACGGCATGTGATTGGAAAGAGTTGGATTTTTGGAGTCAAATACATCCCCAAGGAGAGAACATTCATCAAAATGCTTCCATTTTGGAACGTATGTATCCTCTGCACCTTTTCTAGTGTCTTAGGACTTCTTTACTTTTCTAACTCTTCTCTGTAACTTGTTCAGACTCTGCATTTTACCTTACAAGAACAGAAAACCATATCTGATGATTCCTTTAATACAGACTGACACAAAAAAAAAAGCTACACATTCGCAAGAATTATCTATCACCTTCAAGCGAGGAAAAATCGATGCCAGGAACCTCATTTTTCAACAAATTGAAGATTTTTCCATACTCAGTCTTCTTTTTGTCTCTATCTTTATATCTGTTTGACTCTATGCTCCAAAAGCTTTCTCGTAACTATAACTTCTGGCAAGTTTCGCCACTTGTCAAGCTTTTCCTCGACAAATTTCCTTTTTTTAAACTAGCATGAACAAGGACTCGGACTTTTCTGGGAAATACGACACCCCAATAACCTTAAGATTAAAATTAAGTGAGTTTAAAAAGTTTCCGAAACAATTAAAACGCATTACCTGATAACTGAGACACTTGCGGGCATGTCAAACTTCGGTGAAATAATGGTCAAGAAGCTATCTTCTAGAGACATCTTCGTACAATTAGTAGCCGTCCTGCACAAGTTGTCGAGGGCCCTTGATTAAGCATTCAGCGGAGCACAATAATGAAAATGCGAAACTGACTCTACAGAGTTTCATGCCCCGGTCCTCACCGTTCTATTCAATTTTTAGAGACAGCTATTTTTTTTATTTTTGTTAGCTGTAATTTCTAAATTATTCTGGTAGGATTTCGCCTGAAAATGTGCCCATTTCAACGCTCCCGACTGAGGTCATCGTGGTAGAATTAATAACTATGTTTTTACTCTGTCTTTTGATGCGTGTATGAATGGAAATATTACATATCATGCGGAGTTATGGAGAAGCCAAAACAGCGTCGGTTTTCTGCTTAAAACTGATTCAAAGGAAGATTAAGGTGATAATAATGCAAACTCATTAAACACTCTTCAAACCCAGGATTAACGAAGGTTTAAACTTGGCTCTTGTTCTGCCTAATGATCTCCTCACAAATTCTCAAATTATGTGAGAAATGTCATGTATCTTTTCGTTGAACCGATAGGAACCTATAGTTTTCAGACGTGATACTCTGCATAATAGGCAGATTCTTGTGGCGATTGTATTGAAAGAAAGCAATTTATTCAGCGAACAAGTACTACAGCGGCTATGTAATTTAAATCTTAAATTATTTGTTCTTTAAAACACGACGGGAGCACGTTTACTTAGTAATTATTGCCGTTCATAATATATTTCATCTCGTCATTTTATCCTAGTTATGGTTTTGGGTCATATCCTTTGTTATCGCTTTTGATTTACCAAGATGGTCTGCGTTCAGGAGGCATGTTTAAACAATCTCATCGCAAAAGGGAAACGCACTTTAGAATTCCCAAAGTTCAGCTGTCAAGTTAGCAGCTGCAAATTCGAGTTCGCTAAAGTTTCTATAAATACAATAAAAATCCTATCAATCAAGTTGACACATGCAACTTCAAAATGATTTCCTCGGGTCATTTCCACGTTTCATTTGCATGTGAAATATAATTTCGCAGAGCTATCTCAAAACATTTCAAATGCAGTTTACATCACCTCCCTTTTTCATTGTTGAATTTGTATCTCCGCATGCAGTTGGATTTTAAAGGTAACCTTTATGAATGGGAGGCGTGAATATTAATTGGACATGGTATAAAGAGTATTCGTTATTGTCCCAAACGCTTTGAAAGATAGATAAATTCAGGTGGCTTTTATTCGCAGTTGAACTTTCGTCAAGTAGGTACTAGAAAACGTACGTTTTAGTGTAACGTTTTTGTTGGGCTTCGTTCACAAAGCGTTAACAAGTTTTCGTTCGTCGTTCATCAGAATTATCTCTACGGTGTAAATGGCTCATAAGTTTAGTATCACGTCATCGAAGAAGGAAATTGTTGGCGGAAAGCGATAAGTTTAGATTAGGGTACATTTTATGAAAAACGTTAATAGATTTGTAGGAAATGTAAATACGGGTTTGCGTTTTTTCTTTTCAGAATCATTCAGTTCGAAATTACTTCCTATGTTTTGTAAGATGAAGCATCTACTGGGAATTTGGGCAACTTCTACATCCAATATGATTCAATGAAAAGTGATTACTGTTATTTTTTCGTTCTTAATCATCCATACTTCGCAGGGAAATTACCCTAAAAGACGTAGACTGACACTGGTAATTAAAGAGCTCATAAATCTTGCGTTATCTTTTTCAGCATTCAAAGCCACGAGCATTGACGTAAATGCTGGCATCTTCTTTCATCCGGCCGGAAAGGCTATACATGTATTTGAGCTGTCTTGGGCGGATGCAAATGAGCCATGAATGAGACAGCGCGAAAGAGTTTCAGTTACGACTCGCAAAAAATCTTACACGTTTCGATGATTGCCATCGTTATGATTGGTTCTATTGTTGGGAACAGCATCATTTGCTTTCTTCTTGTCAGGTTCAAGACTTTGCGAACAGTTCCCAATATCCTTATTGTAAACTTGGCTGTCATTGACATTTTAAACGCAGTGACCAACATGCCACTGATGATCATGTGGTACATATACCAAGTTCCGTATTTGAAAGGACTTGCAATCTCCTGGTTCATAGTGACATGGTACGTACTTTTCATGCACCTCACCGTATTTAATCTGACGGTGCTTACAATGGACCGCTTCGGAGCCATTGTCCACGGGATTCATTATCACTCGTGGAAGACAATCAACAAGGCGAAAGCAGCAGTGTTTTTTGTGTGGACTTTTGCCGCTGCCTATACGTATGGAATGTTCACTTTGGGACTGGACATTGACCTTGGTGATGCCCCAGTGCTTCAGTACAGAATGCATTATTTAAAGAAATTTGGAAGGCATTTTATCATTCCAGGGTATGTTGTGCCTTTCATGATCATGGTAGTTATGGGAGTGGCGATTTGGCGCACCCTGCATAACCATAGCAGACGCATTTCGGCCTACTCTTCTACGGGAAAACAGACCAAAAATGACGTGAAGACAGCAAAGACGATCGGCTTGACTGTGGTTGCTTTTTTCTGCATGGGTGTATTACCGATGTTGCTACACAACATATGTAAAGTTCATGGCTCATGGCCTCATTTCCTTGCCTTCTTTCTCAATCATCTGAACAGTATGGCAAATCCAATCATTTACTCTCTGAAGACTCCTCGGTAAGTATTTATGTTGTGATTGTTCTTGTTTCCATTTCATTTGGACTACAAAAAAAAGAGAGTAACAACACTTTGACAATGACTTTTTCTCTTGATCTCTCATTTTACAATACCAATAGGATGTTGTCGTTTCTTTTTAATCGTTGGAGGCCACATCAAATATCAATTTAGTAGAGGCTTGAATGACTGAATCCACAAATCAAGTTTGTTTCACCGCATATATTTTTAGAACTTTCTGTTAAATCTAAGTAAGAAGTAAACACGTCCTTTTTTCCACAGGTTTCGTAAGGCGTTTATTCTATTCTTGAAGGAACCTTTGGGCAAGTCCCAGCCACTGATGGCTTCCAAGAATCGGATGGATCTCAACTCCACAACGAGGAATTTATCTTCGAAAGTGGATATGTTTCACACCCAGATCTCATCTGTTTAAATTTTGATGATAAATTCTCTTTGTGTATCACTTTTGTTCCATTGTACAGCAATAATAGTTTGAAAACGTCAACTCGACTTTTATTGAATATGTAACAAGAATTGGGTTGAGATTGTTATTAGGATACAGTTCACCAGCGTGGACATTAGGAAAACCCATATTTGACGAAGTTCATCGTATACATTTATTTTTGATTCATAATCTAAAGATTTCCCTAAGGTTTCCTAAGCCATAAAATGCAAAGTAACATTTATCTTTTACACAGAGTTTCTACAAACTCTCTCCACAACGAGGAATTTATCTTTGAAAGTGAATATGTTTCACACGCAGATCTCATCTGTTTAAATTTTGATGATAAATTCTCCTTGAGTATCACTTTTGTTCTATTGTACAGCAGTAATAGTTTGAAACGTCAACTCGACGTTTACTGAATATGCAACAAGAATTGGGTTGAGATTGCTATTAAGATACAGTTCACCTGCGTGGACATTGGGAAAACTCATATTTGAGGAAATTCATCGTATACATTTATTTCCGACCCATAATCTAAAAATTTTCCTAAGATTACCTTAGCCATAAATAGCAAAGTAACATTTTTCTTTACACAGAGTTTCTACAAACTCTCTCCTTGAATTAGTATCTTAAAAATTTCCTTCTGCTGCCGTTATGAATATAAATCTCAGCATGTGGCAATATTATCTCTAAGGCGTCATTCAAGTTTCCAAAGCGTGAAGCTGTTTGTGAACCACACAGTTGTCCTTACCTTTTTGAACCTATCCATGGAAGAAAACAAAAGCCACCTCTAAAGGAAAACTAAAACTGTCTATTGTGACGTTCAAGTAGGGATGAAGATGAAGTAAGTAAAGTAAGCCTTGTTTCATCTTAAATTTTCTCAGAGTAAACTAGCAAAATGTTTTCAAATATGATAAAGGTGTGTTGCAACAGAGAACTTAAGCAGAGAAGTACTTGAGACGCGAACGGCAAACAAAGAAGAATAAAACAAACTCTAAGCCGCTTTGATGCAAATGAATTGACCGTACCGTTGTAAACTGATTTTGTTTGAACAGTAAACCCACTCTCAGTAAAGTAAATGGTTTGAACCCAGGAGTATCAGTAGTTCGTATAGTGTGATCGTCTGGGTGAGTGTAGTTCTGAAAAGAACTGTTGTTGGTGACTGACGTTTCGACGACCTGTGCGGAAGTCATCTTCAGAGTCAAGTGGAGAGTAGTTGTCAGTCGATGATGTTATAAAATCTGGTCTGTTGAACGTGATTGGTCTGTTTAGCCGAGATGTGATCGGCTGGAAGACTCGTGTAGAGTTTGTTAACAGTCATTGGTCGGTTTCGATCCGTCTGTTGTTGGTCGGTCTGTTTGTCGGTTTGTTCACGTCGTTAATGAGTCGTTTGTTAGGTGCCGGTAGTTGTTGACATCTGTTGAGAGGCGTCTGTTCTAAGTTGGTAAACCAGCTTTCGAAAGTCAGTCGTTGAAAATAGTTTGTACTGTAGGTTAAGCATTTAGCAGAGTCCCAGTCGATTCTGTGATTAGTTTGTCGGTGATGTTCAGAAATGTGATTGTTTAAATCGCCATTTCTAGTAGCTCGTTTGTGTTCAGTTAGTCGCGTGTTAAGGTTTCTATCAGTCTCACCAATTGGAGGAGGCCTGGCAGTCGGAGCATTCGATATAAATCGCTCCCTGTCTGTTGTTGGGTTGGTCTTTGTCTTTAACGTTGGTCAGTAAATGTCGTAAAGTAGTAATAGGCTTCTGAGCTACGCGAATGTTGTAAGGTTGCGATAGCCTCAGAAGTGCCTTTGATGTAGGGTATAGTAGCTGTAGTCGTGACAGATGTGGAGTCCCTGTTAGTTTCTGTAGTGTCGGTCGCCCTGTGAGTGTTTCGTCTAATGAAGTCAGTGTTGTAGTTGTTTTTGTCAAAACACGGTCAAGGTACTTGTTTTCGTCAGATAAACTGTCCGGTGTGTTGCAAACAAGTTGCGCTCGTCTTGTCAATGTCTTGATAGTCGTAGCTTTGTGGGAAGTCGGGTTGTAGGATGATTCGTCAAGCAGTCTGTCGGTATGCGTCGGTTTTCTGTATACTGTTGTTCGTAGTGCGTTGTTGTTTCGGCCTACCAAACAGTCGAGAAAAGGAAGCTTGCCGTCTTGTTCGATCTCCCTGGTAGACTGAATGTCGGTGTTTTTTTCGTTAAGGTGATTGTGAAAAGCGTCAATTTCGTCTTTGTGTATGGCGGTAAATGTGTCGTCAACGTAGTGTAACCAAAGCGGTATGGTTTGTCGGCAAGTTGCAAGGGCGCGTTCCTCGATGTTTTGCATCACAATTTCTGCGACAACAACGGAGACCGGCGACCCCATAGCTGTTCCGTGCAACTGCTTGTAGTGTTTCCCGTTGTACTGAAAGTAAGTCGATGTAAGGCAGAGATTAAGTAGGTCCATAATGTCTTCTGTCGGTAATGGTAGTGCATCAGTAGACTGTTGGATGGCGGTTTCAGTACACTGTAGAGCCAATTGAAGTGGAATACTGGTGAACAGTGATTTCACATCAAAAGACACAAGTTTGTAGTCGTCGGGTATCTGTACGTCTTTGATAGCGTCAATAAAGTTCTCAGTAGATTGTAGTTTACGTCTCGATTTGTCAGTCAGTGGTTGCAATATCGTCGTAAGGTATTTCGACAGTTGGTACGTCGGGGACCCACAGAATGAGATTATAAGTCGCATAGGTATCCCAGGTTTGTGTAGTTTCGGTAGTCCGTAAAATTTAGGTGGTTGTGGTACAGAGCACCTCAGTCGGTAGTAGCGTTGAGTGTCAAAGGCGTCGGTCTTTCTGAGCGTAAGTAGTTTGTTGTTGAGTTTGCGTTGTAGTGCTGGCGTCGGGTCACGTTTGTCGTTAACAAGTGCGTCCATTTTGTCATAGTAGTCAGTCTTGTCCATAACAACAGTAACACGTCCTTACACATTATTCCGACTAAAGAATAGTTCGCTTAAATAAAATAAATGATTTTACTTCACAAGAGTTCCAGTTAGGCCTAACACCAGAAGTTGAAGGTTAAGAGATAATCTTAAGTGTACCCGATCTTACTTTATAAGGCCCTTTGACAAAGCAATCTCGCAAATGAATTCAGGATACGCAAATTATTGGTCAAACGAGGATCAAATCCAAATAAATTTTCAATGCAAACAGCCTACCTTTCGAAAGACCTCAGGTAATTTTAGTTCAACCATGGACGGATATCTCATCGAGAATGAAGTGTTTAACTCTCTTTGGCAAGGAATACTACTTGCCTGTCGTTAAAAAATACTAACATCTAATGTACCAAGTGTATTTTTTAAGACAATATTTGGGGGAAAAAAGGAAAAGAAAAAACGACGGACTAAACAAGGAAGCGAAGAAGGTGATCGCCCACATTTGACTTTTAAGAGGACTTCTTTTAAGAAAGTTGCCAACAGTTCGTGTCATCCTTTAGCCCGTCGAAACTAAGATCGTCTGAAATAAGTTTTACAACCGTACAGCTGATTTTCTCATTTAATTGGTTTTAGAGAAAGTTATCATCATTTGAAGTTTATGGTGGCGGGGTTTAACCTGCACGGATAGTCGTAAAGGATGAATGAAACTTTTCAGTTAAATTCATGTCGTGATTAGCAAAGAAATTAAAATATCCTCATGATTTCTGTAGTCATGATCGAATCTTTAATCGGAAACAGCTTAATTTGCTTCTTATCAGATTCAAAACTTTGACAACAGTGCCCGACATCCTCATCGCTAACTTAGTTGCTGTTAACATTCTCAATGCACTGACATCATTCTATGATAGCTGATTTCTGGTTCGTAAATAACCAACTACATCAACCCACGTGATTTACACAACAACTACAAGCGGCTGCCATTTTGAAACAAACCAAAGTGAGGATGTTAGTTTCTAAAGAAACTGTGCTGCTGTGTCGGCGAGGATATATGATAATTTGGCTTCATCAAACAAATTGATAAAGTGAATTGACCACCGTAAGGGAATGAACAGCTGACATTTCGAGCTTTAGTCGTTCGTCAGAGTGAAGGGTTAACGCTCGAAACATTACTATGCGTGGAAAACAAAGAAAAAAGCCAAGGTAGCGGTACTTTTTGTATGGCTTCTCGCGGCCTTATACACATATGGTATGTTTACACTTGGATTGGATATTGATTTAGGCGACGCTCCAGTGCTGGTATACAGGATGACCTACTTGATTTAATTTTCGCGAGACACTTCATCATCCCTGGAATTTTGGTTCCATTCTTTTTAATGCTAATATCAGGAGTGGCCATTTGTGTTAAGGTGTGTAATCATAGAATCATTTTTCGACTTTCTTCTCCGTAAAAATTCGAATCGGAAACGACGTAAAGACCGCGAGGACAATTGGTGTAACAGTGTTGGCGTATTTCTGTATGGATGTGATACCAATGTTATTACACAACCTAATGAGACGCCGCGGTAGCTGGACTCACTTCCTCGCGTTCTTCCTCATGAAACTGAACAGCATGGTGAATCCTATCATTTACGCTTTGAAGACTCCAAGGTAAGTTCAGTCTGTGAGGTATGGGGTTAAAAGTTGGCTTTAGGAATTTAATTTTTTTAAACTAATTTAATTTTACTTTAATTCTTATCCTTACAGAGACTCATGCAAGGTTAAATCTTTTCGTCAAACTGTGTACCAGCATTGACGAATCCTGTTTTGGAATAAGCGGAGGGCGACAGCTCTATTCTAAACTGGCCTTTCTTTTTATGAATTTATGGCTGCACTAGGTGTTGCAAATAAAAGTCGCACCACTTTTATCAAAGGTATACAACAAATAAATGGCGCCCTCTCGAAACGGCCTGGTTTTGAATACAAGAAAACTAGGTCCGAAAGGCTACTCAACGAAAGGGCAACTTTATTTAATTATCGAGTTGCTTTTTACGGTAATTCAAACCCAAAATATTGGCCTTCTTTAGTTTATTATCGTTTATGGTAGAATATC